GGGCGAGAAACTGCTGGACACGCGTCCGAGCGCGCTCGAATGCGCGGCCCAACTGGACTCGGTCGAGTTGACCGGCCCCCGAGAGTCCGACTGACTCGTCGCGGCGCCCAGCCTCCGCCACCTCGGCCACTTGTCGGCCCGGCTCGCCCGAGAACGGTTGGCCCAGCAGCGCCTGTTTGGCGTCCAGATCGACGGCCATTTGCCGGCCACGACGTACCAGTTCGACCGCCTCGTGGCACTGTTGGCCAGGGGCCTGGCTCGAGTCCCGAGGGGGACGAGGCTCGCCGTGTCCAATGACAACCTCCGCCTCGACCTCCTCCGCCAACGCCTCCACCTCGTCGTACTCCCCGAGCCCACCGGCCTCCTCTTCGAAAAAGACACTCTCGTCACCGTCGCTGTTCTCCTCCAGGCTCTGCAGCTCGACAAGACTGACGGCCCGGGCCGTGCGGGCCTGCTCCTCCAGAGCCGCCATCGACTGCTCCCAGACCGTCAGCCAGCGTCTCAGTTGGACAATCTCTCGAGCCGCCTTCTGGTTGACCTCCGCCTGTTTTGTCACCTCAGCCTCGACCTGCTGGAACAGGCTTTCCGCCTGTTCTACGCATCTTTCGGCACGCTGAGCCTGTTGAAGAGAAAAATCGGATATTAGATTGAGGCAAAATGTCGCCCGACGCTGGGCCACTACTGATAACCATAGTAAGTAGCTTTCGATGCAGTCTGTGCTCTGCTAGTGACGAAAATGCCGGGCGCACGTAGTGATTTGAGGAAGTTTAGAGCGAAAAGTGTATACATTTTTCCGTTCACTTGTGGCACTGATTTAACAGGGTGAAATCCGCTTTACCCAAAAAGCCAAACTATCCTCCTCCCCACCACAACTATCCACTTCGCGAAACATCACGTTCGTTCATATCTTCTAGCGCCAAATCTACACAAAGACCACTTGTGAGTATTCACACCCATCTTTCACGCCGGCCAATCAAGCCTCGCCAACGTAGCGAGCCTACCTCAGAACACATCAGATCGGGACCTCTAGGACCAATCAGAAGCTGATGTTCAAACCATGCAACGGTTTAACCATGAAGCCTCAAGACTTTTGAAGCGTGTTTAAACAACACTTCCTAGCCTCGTTATCATCATCGTCCTGCACATTCGCTTCTCGTCTCGACGGCCTCTCATTTAGGATCAAGCTATTAGTAGTCATTATGTACCGTAACTCCACGTTTAAATTTCCCTTGTTGTATACAAGTCTTCAGACTATCCAGCTCTTATTGCTGACGAGGTAAGCAGCCTACAAATCTTAGTGTGTTGCAGAAATATAGGGCGCCGGATACACATGAAATGGATTGTCGACCGAATGCACAGGTTTCCACTGGTTTCGTATTCTAGTAAGCGACAATCGTCCAAAGTGCCAAACCCACAGGCTAATTGTTAAAGTGCCCTTGGGGCTGGTTGCGAGGCAATAAAGTAGAGTCGAGCCCGAAATACAGTCTGGATGTGAATTGCCTTCTGGTTAGTTTATTTCAAAAATCTAATTGTATATTCATTTTATCGTCAGCAGATATGCTATCAGCCCAAAAATAAATAGATCAGAAATCGTACACTTCCATGGAGATCAGGCCCTTGATAAGTGCCAACAAGCTGTTACTAACTAAATATAACGAATGTTGTAGGTAAGAAAAGCAAATTGATTTCGATGAGTCTTCTGAGGTATCATTGTGAAAGTGCATGAAGAAGATACTTGTAGGTTGATCTTACTTGAAGACGACGGATGATGCCCATTGTACCGCAGCCGTTTGGCTTTAATACGACGTTCGGGTTGACGCAGTTCACAAAACATACCCTCTTGCTTCCAAAAAAAACGATGGACATCATCAGAGCTGGAACTTATTCTTTTGTACATTTCACGTTAACAAGAGGTCAACAAGACTATCCAGATCTAGAAAATCTATTATATATGGTCATTAATAGAAAACGAAAATGAATATGCACAGACAGATATAGA